ATTTTATTTTAAACACATTTTGGTCCCTGATCTGCCTCCAGCAAATTATTTCCCTGGACATGATAATGAAAATACATCCCCAATTTTTTTAGCTCTAGTTGACCAATTGATACAATGTTTACGATGCTTTATATTAATGACATTTTTCATGTACACACAGTTGCTGAGAGACTGCTTCACCAACTGAATCCCCAAATAGACATGGGCTTTTGGGACTGCTGTAACAACCAAATCCCCCTGCAGATGTGAAGCTACACCGTTGAGTCTCCAAAGTTCCAATAAGCATCAAACAGCAACAACACAAATTTATGAACAGCATGAAAGGGACAAAAATTTAGAAAACTGTAGAAGTCATTTTGAGGTCAGACCCTAATCCAATGTGGAAAAGTTTACAAACACCTTCCCTGAAATCTGAATGAAAAAAATGCTGTTGCTTATTGTTAGTGTCAGGCTCCATGGTGTAATTTTATAGTTAATATAAAAGAACATAGTATTTTGAGATTTTAGACCAATAGATGCTCCTTTACGGACTGCCCCACGGCCCACAGCACACTAGTTAACTAGCATGGTAGCATCCTTACCACAACTACCCAAGACATAACTGCATACTAAATAATCAAAGAATGGCCACGCCAATAATCAGCCAGCCACACAACTGTTCAAATGATTATAAATTTGACTTTGTTCAAAATAAAAGGCATATTTAAGTCCATTTTTGAGTCAATTAATTGACAAAAATCTTTAAAAGTATTAGAAAGTTGTTTCTGCTTGAATTTCAAATTTCAATGCATTAACATTGCGAAACATCAAAATATTTTTTACCATATTCATATATACTTGTTGAATAAATTATAATTTTGCTATATACACCACTTAAAATTGCTTCAAGACCTGATTGTGATCGGTCCATTTGCTCCAATCACATGTATTTACAAAAGTCACTTGACATTGATTGCTAATGGCAAGTACTAGGTATGTTTTAATGCTACAACTTTATCATAAAATTTATGCATCCTGAACGCTTGTGTTGCATCTTGAATTGCTATGCAGGATCTATCTAACCTCAGCTTACAATCCCTGTGTTTGTAACATACAAATTTTCAACTTGATCTGACTCCATAAAATCTTGATGAAATAACTTGTTGGTTGACAAGTTTTCACATTATTTATATCAATTCTGTCGTTGCTTTTCCATTTTTACCATCCTGAAAATCTGTTTCTGAATTGCAATAAGAGCTATACTGGTGGTATATACGGTACTAGCTATGAAAACTCATTCAATGCAGAAATTTAGAGCTCAACAAAGAAATTCTGGGAGACTAAAATATTGAGCCTAAAAACAATCTTGTAACATCAAAAATGAAAGCTAACAAAATCTCGCAGCTTGGCTGGCACCAGCTGGCTGGGGTTTCTTGAAGAAAGCCATCATGGCCATGTATAAATCCATTTCCTGACCTATCCTCAAGCTCAACTTTGCAGCTCAAATTTGATATTCTTTTGTTTTCTGTTCTGCCATTGCAAGCCTACAGGTTGTGTAGTAGTCTGCTTTTGGTATCTTATGGCCCCTTTTTTGGTGGATGGCTGATTGTCAGTGCCAGCAGACTACCCTGGAGAGGCTGCACCTGGACAGAATTGAGGTGATTGCATCCTACTCTGCAGACAGCAGAGGCTACCAAGAACAATAAGGTTCAGGCTGCCCCACCTGACATGGAATATATCTAGTTTTATATGCCATGACTAGAGCATTTCCACCATTTTTGGAGTTACAAGGTTACCAGTGATGAATTACTTCCTATCTTATTGTTAACTTAGGTGCATGATTGGGCCATGAGATTCCAAATTGGTTACTTTGGAGCTTCAAAGTTTCAGTAGTAACTTGAAAATTCCAATTGTTTGCACTCTACCTCCAACTTTCTTCAAGTCAAGGAAGCCATGTTCCCTCATCCACACAACTCTATGTTGGCTCAGCTATAGTTGGGCTTTGGCAGCCACCTTTCATCCTCCACCTTCAGACTGCGATGCTCCCCCAGCATAGCATGCCTCAAGTGTTGGGATTCCCTTCACTCTATTAAGCACTTCCTCAACTGCCTGTCTTTTCCCACAAGCTCCCATTTCCTCTCCTCACTATGGTACAGCCCTCTAGGCAGCAATCGTCATGGCCTCCATCCCATAATTTGCTAAACTCCCTCTTGCTATAACCCTTTCCATGCCTAACACTTTTGCATGACTGAATCTTGTTTTAAGGAACATCATCAGTTTTGATTTTGATGGCAGACAATGATCTTGTAAGGACAGGCTTAGTGCCAATAAGTTTGATATTGATATTTGGATGATGCAGGCATTTAAGGTTACTGAAACTGCCTGGGTGATGCTGAGGGAGCTATGTAAGGAAATACTAGTGCCAGCTGATGACAAACAAAACTGCCAATATGCCCAGTAGTGCACGATTAAATGCGTTTAGTAGGGATAAGATGATGCAAATTAGTCATTTAACTAATGACATGTTACATACACACAGCAATATGATAGTCCCAGACGCAGTTACTAGGGTATTGGTTAAGCTTTCATGAAATTTAAGGGCACTATTACAGTAAAGCCTTCCTAAAGTATAACCAATAAAAAATTATAAGATCAATGATCACGATAAGATCAATGGGGTTCTATGTCACATGCAAGTAAAATTATACATTTAAAACACAAGCTAAAAAAGATCAATAGACAAACCACCGCCTGAGACAGGCAACAAGAAAATCAATCTATCATTTACAAGCTAAAACTTGTTGTCAACTTAAGCATGCCTGCACCATGGATAAAAGCATGCCTGCACCATGCCAATTAAAATGGATGACTCAGAATCACTGTTACTTAGTAAAATATCTCTTAGTATAAGTATAAAAATTTGGCTATTTCATTCTCATATATTTAAAAAATGATTTCAAGTTTAGATTTGTACATTTGAAGACTGCATTTGATAGGAAACAATCAGTTTTAATGCCTTGTGAAATGATTGTGGTGTATGTAAGAAGGAAGTGAGCTAAAAAAATACTTAACAAAATAGAACAGTGTGGTTTGAAACACATCAACTCAATAAGCATAATCTTCAGTGTCAATTGAAATGATAGAGCATTCTGCTGAAAGAGCTTTTAGCCCCTCTTGGAGTAAAATTTCTTCAGAATAATGCAATATTCTGGCCCTTGCATAATTGTCCCTCAATATTCTAGATACAATAAAAAATATTTTCTGGATGCCATGAGTAAATAGCTTCTTTCACACAAGATTTTTGACAAAATATCTCTTCAGTTGCCATCTAGGGCACATGCTGCATATTGACTAAATTTTTCTATGTCAAGTAACTTTATGGCATGTCAAGTAACCTCAAGCAATCCAAATATGTGATGTGATGTGCTTGATCTACAGGAAGGCATATTACTGCCAAAATGATAACTTTAATGCCAGAATTGTGTAATGTTGATCTGCATAGCTACAAAAAAGTTTTTTGTAACAATTTGAGACATTTAATCATCTTGACTAGTAAATCTGAGTGATGTTTTCACTGGTGCTTCTGTATTATAAATTCACATTGGTTTCATCCAAAACATGAAAATGGCTAATAGTTGTCATTGGCATAATAGTATACTTTGTGCAGACTGACTAATGGGTTTTAATAAACTGTGTTTTTGCACAAATCCATGATCAATTTCATCTTCAATAATGTTATTAACAGAGCTGGGCAGCGCTACTTGGAAATGTAGCGGCGCTACCGCTACCGCTACATGCTCTAAATGTAGCGGGCGCTACCGCTACCGCTACATGCTCTAAATGTAGCGGGCGCTACCGCTACCGCTACATGCTCTAAATGTAGCGGGCGCTACCGCTACACCCACTAGATTGTAACGGGCGCTACCGCTACCGCTACAGTAAAATGTAGCGTGCTACATTAGCCGCTACAATGGCCAAAATTATTGGAAATCTCTAAATATTTATTGTTCTGCTATTGGGATTTACTCATTAACATTTAATGATAATAAAACATTTTTAAAACATATCAATGCAACTTTATTGCAATTAAGGGGAGCGTCTCCCGAAAAATCGAAAATTTTCACTTTTTGGGTTTTTACACTCATTTTAAAGCTTAGAAAATTACGCTTCTAACGAGACTAAACTTGTCTCTCTACGTCGTCTGGTTCTCGTACACCAGCCAACAGAAGCAAGCCGGTACCGCAAGCTCAGTGCATCGACAGCGGTCGTGAGAGAAGTAGTGTGTTTATCAGTGCGCCTCTAAAACCCGACGTCGTGACCGCTATAGCTGCCTGTGGATCTTTCCTAAGATGCCTAAAGTGAAGAAAAGTCGTTCATTGAACTTGCCCTATGTGGCGAAGGCAAGTGGAATAGTGAGAAAATAAATAAATTTCAATACATTTTGTTATTTAATATATTATATTTTTTTCTTTCCTTTTTTCGAAGTACAATTTCTTCCCATAGTTTTCAAGCTACAGCAATGAAACTTATACCATTGGATGCGCAAGAAAAAGATCTAGAGAATGATGTATGCGTTTTTGTAATATAGATTTATTTAGAATGCAGTTTTTTTAATTTTCATAAAAATTTTCAGTTTTTCAGCTCTCCTGAAAAACAACATTTTTCTGACTTGCAAACCTATCTCCTCCTAGAGTTTTGAAGCTACGTCAATGAGACATATACCGTTCTCTTATACANATCTCTGTGATGTACACTTTACATCACTAATCACTATAATGCCTGTCTCTTATACACATCTAGATGTGTATAAGAGACAGGGCTTTATCTATGAATGTAGCGGTAGCGCTGTAGCGGCAAAACCTCGTATCGCTACTTAAATATGTAGCGGGCGCTACCGCTACCGCTACATTGGCTTAAATGTAGCGCCGCTACCGCTACTGAAAATGTAGCGGCCGCTAGTAGCAGCCGCTACAGGTAGCGCGCTACTGCCCACCTCAGGTTATTAATATGCATTTTTTTTCAGAATTAGAGTATTATGAGTTGTGATATTTCTTCTAATATCCCCATTGGTTGTTGAGAATAGCCCTACAGGATTCACTCTTCTATTTACTTCCATCATTGAGTTTTATGCATCTGACAAATGGATAATTCTGTGATGGTAAGCATCTTGGTAACAAAACAATAAGCTTGTAACTTGAAACTCCTTTCAATTGCCCACTAGTAGATCAATAGATCTTGCTTCATCTGAGCATATCAGGCATCCCCTTATCGCTGACTATGTATATATACTCCCACCCTTGTGTGTTAGCAACTACAATGTTATATTCATGTTGAGCTTTGAGATAACCATATTCAAGTAATATGTATCTAGTGAGCATATGTTGTGAATATCATCGTTGAGACAGTTATGTTAATATACATATGATTTTTTTGCGAATTTTATGATAAAGTTCCAGTTACATTATCTTTGCTTTTTAGCGCATTTTCTCGTTTATGAAAAAAAAATGCACTATTGTGCTTGCCATGCCCATCTGTCCATCCGTCCGTCTGTCTGTCCGTCCATGACTTCACGTTTTCGTCGACGAGAAAATGCGCTCTCTGTCACTCACTGCGGTGAATACTGAGTTATACTTTTTTGGATGGTTGTTCAAGACTGCTTGCATTTGTAGGCACAGTTGTCTTGTACCGTAAAATGGGGTAACTTAGACCACTTTTTTTTATAAATGCCATTTTTTTACTAGTTAAATTAAACTTGAATTGAAACATGCAAAATACAGGTCTATACTCTAGCTTCACTCACCATAAATTGCTGGCTCCTGCCTCTCATAGTCTTTATGTGATTTCAAAAAAAGTGATGGTCTTTGTTACCCCAGCTCTTGAGGTATCTTAGACCGGGTGGTAAAATCAATTATATTTTTGGTAAAATAACTCCAAATAACTCCAGGTTTTGGTGCATTGTAGTAGAACTCTTCTAGTTACATATGCAAATGACAAACTTGAGGAAAGTGTCATAGTTTGTGGCGCCCCCCATTTGCAAACTATGACACTTTCCTAAAATTTGTCATTTGCATTTGTAACTAGAAGAGTTCTACTACAATGCATCAAAACCTGGAGTTATTTAACCCAAAAATAAAAAAATTGGAGGGGGTACTCTGACAGACTTTAAATAATAGCTTTTTTTCGTGGGTCACATTTTTAATTTTTTAACCTATTAGATATGCAAACTTTTTAAATCTTTCTATTGTGTTATGTAGCCTCAGTATTAGGCTCTTAATGCCCATTGACAAAATTTTTCTATGTCAAATAGTTTTTGAGTTTTGGGGGTTTTTGTTAAAAAAACGAAAAGTAGTCTAAGTTACCCCGCCGGTCTAAGTTACCCCATTTTACGGTATGTCCAATGCAGTGTAATTTTCTTTACAGGATGTGGATGCTCCAGTAGCCATTGATGCAATCTCTCAGCACCACTCAATCAAGCCATACATTGAGAACCTGTACAGCAACAATACCAAGAAATGCTTCCAGGCTGTTGTGTAAGTTGAGCAACCACTATCATGTTAACTTTTATGTCATGTTCTTGAGCAAATATGGTGTATCAAAATCTTTGTTTTGGTCAGGTTGTACTAATGATTTCAAATTCACTTCTGTTAAACATGTTCCTGGTAAAAAAAATATCAGTATTTTTGGTAGAACTAGATTACAGTGGTAAATCTGTGGATCTTATTCTTTCCATCAATCACAAAGATCTGGAGTAGTGTTAGTGTGTGTATGAACTAGTTTAATTTTCATTCTATGTGTTGATATTATTTATTGCATATATCCATCTATGGTTAGGGAGCAATACATTGAGATTTCCTTGTGAAATCTAACCACTTAGCAAGAGAGTTCAACCATGTTGCAAAAGCTTGCTGGTCAATACTCAAGCAATGCAGGCAATGATGTCATTTTTTACTATTTTGAAACATTACAATTTGTTTTCTTCAAATTAACATAAATGTCTCTTCTTATGTAGATATATTCCTGCTGATCATTCTGAATTATTCATCTAAATTGAACCTATTGTAATCAGAAACGTTTCTTAACTAGCTAGTTAAGTTAACCCAAGGTTAGTCAACCTGGTACTATAACTTATCTCGAAATATTATATGAACCTAGCAATGCCTGGGGAATGAAACTTTTATGCACTAGGCTAACATATATGCTACCAAATTAGATGTCCATTAACATAACATTGATACTTGCCCTCCCAATTGATTGTGGTGATATCTTGCCTTGCAATATGGTGGTTTCTAATAAATTTCCTAGAATAAAATTTAGATTTCTCAGAATTTTGTTATACCTGTCAGTGATAGTCATGCTTCTTCTATTTCTTCAGAGAATTGAAAATTGCTGTGATTGGCAGCCCAAAGAGCAAGGGAAATGTCATCATGCAGGGATGCGTGGCTCGGCTACTACAGATCTTGCGAGCTCCTGACTTGGGCATGTTGCTGAAGACAGAAGTGGTGACTGTGATTAATTCCTTAGCCAAGGGTCAGGCAGCGCATGCTGCATCTCTTGTGCAGGCCGGAGTCCTTCCTGTCTTGTGGGAGCGTAAGTTTCTACTGCTTTGCTTGTACTTCAGCTAAATGATTGTATTTAAAATAACTATTGGTTTTTCAGTCTCAGCAGCCTGAAATAATTTAATTGATACTTTTCTATTTGCTTTTGGGTAATGATTATATTCAGCGTGTGAGTAGAATTAATTCTGTCGTATATGCTTGTGCAATAAAGCGATTATCATACCGTATGTGCAGAGTTGGAGGCATGTGGTGTGAGCAACATGCAAGAAAACACCTCACAGTTCTTCAACAGAGTAACATTCTCAAATAGTAACGACACGGGAAACATAGAAGACGAGCTTATTGACATAAGAGGCAGCCCACATACCAATGACAATAATACCAATGGTTCTGCTAAAGTCCCTCCTCCGCGCCGGATCCGAATACAGAAAGTTCTTGCAGGCTACACGCAAATGTTGCTGTGCTGTCTTCGTTCCATCTACAGACAAGGCTGCGTGCCACCTCCGCCGTCCTGGAACCTAAAGCTGCTCTCTACCCTCATCAAACATGGCTACACTCCGCCCACAAATCAGGAGTGTGTTGCCAACATTCTTGCCTACGCGTGTAAGGTACAGATTGCAGTTCGTTTTTCTCTTGCTTTCTGGTGGGAGTCCGGGTCTTTTTTGTTTTACTGTTCTTTTTGATTCCAATTTCCTTATTTTACATGTTTTTACTAATAAGGTCAATGAGATTTGTTCACTTCTTCAAAAAATTCTAATTATAGCAAATTAAAATGATTCATTCGATTCTTACGTTATGCTTTGATTGTTGGTTTTGAAATTTTCATCGTTTAACTAAAGGGGTTGGTACTTCTCAAGTTTTCAATTGAGGAGCAAATTTCACGCGTATCCTTTTCACGACATATCATTAATTCTTGGTTTCAGCTCACACTCTCATTATTTGCCTGAACAAAAAGGTATTATAAGCCTAAAATTATCGAGTTGCTGGTCTCCTTGTGGCCATACTAATTTCAATAGCCGATATTGTTCACTGTCGAAACCAAGCTTCATGAAGTGAGTTGTCCGTATTTTGTATGAACCCAAATTCAATACTCATTAGTTGAATCTAGTTAGCATACATAAATCTTTCGGGTAATATCGGCTTTAGTTTACTTTCATTGCTCATTTTATTCCGTTGCACGCGTCTGTGAACCTTGCTAAATCAAAGAAGTTTTCATTTTCTTGCTCAATCTGAATTCGCTCATTCGTGACATGAAGAATCGACTGCTGCTTCTGCGTAGAGCAGGCTGTATTCTGTGAATCGATTATAACCTCGAGCGTACTAGTGACTATACACTGACCATCATCGTAACCATGATTACCGATGAAGATTTTTATTCAATTAGTTGCGATTGTAAAGAAAAATTCAGGAATTGTTTACAGTGGTTAGACAAAATAAGGGAAACAAAGGAGAAATCCATAAAATATATTTTACTATGGAGTAGGTTTACCTTTTGCGGCAATTTCAGCCTCAATTCTCCGAGGTATAGATTCATACTAATAGTGAATTGTTCATACAAATTGTTGGAATTTTAACCCTTTCTTCAGTTAAAACTCCCTCCAGCTTAGGCGATGGCGGCTGGAATCGACTTATGACATTCATCTCTAGAATGGATTATAAATGCTCGATAATATTCAGGTCTGGTGATTGTGGTGGCCAAATGAGATGCTCGGCTCTATTGGAATGTTCCTCGTGTCATTTTTTAACAACTCCAGCTGTATGGATCGGGGCATTATCATCTTGAAAGATGACGTTATCCTCCGGAAACAGTGCTTGAACCATTGCATGAACTTGGTCCTCCAAAAATTCCTACATAGTCGCGGCTGTTGATTCTGCCATGAAGAGAAATCATTGGTCCACCGGATTTGCACGAAATATTCGGGATTAAATGACTCTTTTGGCCGCTTCCAAACTTGAACTCGGCCAGAGGTTGGAAATAAGGTAAACGATAATTCACAAGAGAAAATCACATTTTCCCACTGCTCCCACATTTTCCAATTCTGGAGGTTTTTACACCACTCTAAACGCTTTGAAGCATTTGAATTTGAAACCAGAGGTTTTCTAATTGTAGCTCTTCCATGGAATCTTGATCTGTTCAGCTCTCGGCGGACATTCTTCCTGGAAATTGGGTTCTGTAGGTGTCCATTGAGGTCTGCAGTAATTTTAACAGCAGTGGTCTTTCGATTGTCCCTCACACTTCGATTTAGGTACCGACGGTCTCTCTCAGACAACTTCTATTTTCGGCCAGACCTGCATGCTCTGCTGCGGACGTTTATCTTTTCTTTCAAAAGCAGTCATTACTTTTGAGACTGTACCTCTAGAAACGTCAAGCATTCGGGAAGTTTCTGTCACACTAGCACCTCCCATACGAGCATCAACAGTTTGGCCCCTTTGAAAGTCAGAGAGGTTTGCCTTTTATAGGTTATAGACACAAAATTTTACTTAAAATATCTGTGCAATGATGAAATATCAATTAGCAGCAACAATAGACAACAAAACTTTAAAATGTGTTAAGTTTTCATTTTTATTACATGTGCAAAAATTACGACAACAAAATGTCAGGCGTTTCCCTTATTTTGTCCAACCCCTGTTTTGCCGAAGTGGCACACATGGATCCTGCTTGTGTCGGTGCGAGCACCTCAAAGTAGGATCACCAATCCATCATATCGTGGATTTTTGATGTCAGCAAAGCCCCTGCACGTTTGCAGTTTGTTAATGTTGGGTCGTGTTGACGTCGTTCAGCATGAGTAAGGCCATGCACCAGAGTAACTTGCTCACTGTTGATGCCATCAACCAGTGTGTTGAAACACGAGCGAACTCAATAGTCTTGTACGTGTTGAAGTGAGTTTAGCAGTGCGTATATTAAAGCAGCTCTGAGTGCCACTGTATTATTAGTGTTGTTGCAGAGCGCACCAAGAATGCCTCGAGAGCGCCACATCAGCGCCCTTCGCTTACGTAATCATCATACCACTGCAGTAAGTGTCATCCCCATACTCTTACCATTACTGTCCTAACTCCATTATTACATTCCGCATTTAACAGCACCTGCATTACTGCTTCTTTCTTTCGTTTCATTTGCAGCATTTTTATCATGTTTTGCTCAAGCTCGGCTAATAATTTTGAATTAGCTTTTCGACTCTTATCTACCAACGTAAACGAAGCAGTCGTCCAGATTTTCGGTTCAATTGATTGACTGGATTCAATTGTGGAAAATGAAACAATTTTGGCTGGAATAAAGAAACAATTCAATTTCTCCTTTAAAAATGTGATTAGATACAAAATTATCCGTACTGATGGTTGGAGTCTATGCAGAAGGGCTTGTCATTAAACAAAACCAAGGTATTAAGTTCGCTGCCTCATATAATCAACGATACGTCCATAAGCTTTCTTTTTTGCTACGTAGTCTGCGTACTCGAATGTTTGACAATTCCACACAGATACTCGAAATCCAGGAGATCTTTCGTCTACTGTATGTAGCATGTTACGTGATAGTGTGTCGACGGCAAAAGGGCTGTGACGTTTATAGATTTCAAGCAATCAATATCTATCAACTCACACTAGAACTCTTGAGTACTAATGCATTTGTCTCTACCTGTCGTTTTGATCTTCATAGTCACCTCCACACTGCAGAGGCGCGTCGTATTTTACAATACGACTTTGCTTGTAAATTTAATATATTTTTCTCTTTTTCTTGTGTTATAATCTACTGTGATTTTTTCGGTTTTATGCCGATGTTCGTGGGGATCATGTAGATGCCTGTTGTAGTATTTGTACGTCTTTCTAAACAGCACCCATTTCACAGCGGTCCTCTCCCTCCCTAAACGTATTCCTCGCGGTTACAGCCGCGACATTCTTGAATGGCTTACTAAAAAAAATAAGATAATATTAAATGTTTTCCATCACATTCACTAAGCGATAATTTTACTAGGTCTTAGTACGTATGTTTTTCCGATCAGTCTTTGCCAGTAAATCAGAAATCACCGCCGTATGCACTGTACGGAAGCATCGACGGCGCATTGGCGGAAGTGAGGCAATCAGAGCTCGACAATGTAGTGTCCGCAAATAGGGTCGTCGATATGCTGCACTTAGAATAATGATTAAGTACTGTCCAAATAGTGATGCACTTTTACTTTTATGTGGGTCATCCTGACCCGTTTAGCCCGGCAAAATGGCGGCGTATCAGTGTTCGTTGTGTGTCACAGTGGCAGTCACTCGTGCTGTAAGAAGGTGTCAGTATTTCGACCGTGTGGTCTATTAATTTTTCCGAGCGTTCAATGAATGTCACTGACTTTTTACTAGGTTATTGATGGAAAAGTTGAACTAATTAACAACACAATTAACAACCCTGGCTAGGATTAATAAACCCCGGGCACGTATTACTTATTCTCGCCTGAGACAAGCCTCAGTTGTTGAGGATCTCGATAGAAAATACGGCTGAAATTTGCCGTCCATTTTTTATTGGAGATCAATTAGTGAGCTGCTATTTTCCTAGCTATGTTGGTTGCATTAATGTTGACTATAATCACCACACAGTTGTGACTAATTTTCAAAATGTCAAACCTTTTTCAACAGAAAATTAGTTGAAACTTTTGCTGCCTCGTTTGCCGAGATACTCATCCGCTGAGATGTCTGAAAATTTTTAGATGTGTTTTTCGCTACGAATTTGGTGGAACGATTTAAAATTAGCTCACGACAGCACGCGTAATGCGCCAGTTGATTGGTAGGGTTTATACGTGTCGTTCCCGTCATGCAACCTTCTCGGCTCGTCTTCTCACCCTCACCGTTAGACATCGCCATCGAAATATTTATCATATGAGAATCACTGTTGTAATTACACTTTAAATGTCTAAACGGGTGAGAGTATCTGCCATTTATTCTTATATATGTTGATTTTTCGAAACCGCAATTTATGTTCTACGGCTATTCTCTTTTAAACTTGGCTGATCGTATTGCCGCTCCGCGATTCAAAAGGCTTGTAACTCTGATCGCAAAGTTTCTGATGTATTAACTTTGATAGTGCGAGGAGCAGCAGAAGCAGCTGGTGGAGGCGGGGGCCGGGCAGCTGGTGGCGTCCATGTTGAGGTCTTCACTGACCACCGTACAACTGCCCGCCCTGCACTGTCTCGCAGCCCTCGCCAGAAAGTGAGACATGAGCCTTTCCTCTTACTCGTGTATTCTCTCAGGTAAATTCACTTAAGGCTGAATTATAGTACGGTTTGTTCATAAATCGAAAATTCAATTAAATTTTAAAATTAAATTAAAATGTAATTTTAATGTAAGACCCTTTTTGGTAGATCTTTTCACAACCGATTATTAATGAAGGTTTTAAATAAGGTAATGTGGTACTGCTCGTTGACTGTGCTACAGCAGTCTGCATAATCGGATTTCCTTAATGATTAAATGTTCATGAATATTCATCTACATCCCTATCTCTGTGATGTACACTTTACATCACTAATCACTATAATGCGTAACTGATGTTCAAATAAAATGTAAAAAACAACCAATTATCCGAACGCGTTGACGTTAGGTGTGTCTTAAGAATATTTTCTCCAGCAATTTTGTTGAGTCATTCATCGATTAATTTGTTACACCATTGCAATTATTAAAGTCTTGTTCAACAAAAAATTTTCCGTTCAGCAAAAAATTAACACCACGATGAACATTTTTCTGGATAGTTTTACAGTCTCTGTATACTAACGCTGATATGGCATCTCTTGCCCGCAGCAACGGTGCAATCTCCTTGTACTAACGCTAATACGACGTCTCTTGTCCTCAGCAATGACGCGGTCTCCTTGTATTAACGCTAATACGACGTCTCTTGTCCTCAGCAATGACGCGGTCTCCTTGTATTAACGCTAATACAACGTTTCTTGTCCTCAGCAACGACGCGGTGTCGGCGGAGGTGTCGCGTATCCAGCACTGCGGCGTGCTGCTGCCAGACCGGCTGGTGGAGCTGCTCAACTGCTACACGGAGCCCGCCGTGCAGCTCGCCGCCGCCACGGCCCTCGTGTGGCTGCACAGGAGCGGAGCGCTCGTCCAAACTGACCCCAGAATCAAACACAAGACGCTGCAGTGTCTGGTGCGTTGCAATCTCAGGTTATCGTGGCTCAATCAAAATTTTTATTAAGGATTTTGTCTTTATCAGATGTTCAAAAATTTAAGTATTGTAATTGAGGATTTTGTATTCATTTATAAGGCACCTCACACTTACGTGCATCTGATTATAGAAGAAAACTTCTATATTTTGTCCAGGTTGATACATTTCCTGAAGTGCATTGGTCGGCAAAAGCTGCCATCCAAATAATCTGGAGGTTAATCAATTACTGCTCAATGATTTTTTGACAAAGAGAGAAATATATCCATGTTTAAAATATTTTTAGAGCATTTCCCATCATCATTACTTTCGTGTAAAATTTCATTATCGGAATACGGGCAGTTTTTACTCTCTATACCAGCAAGCCTAGAAACCATATACACTGCAATATGGCACAAGCATTGAACAGAACTCTCCATAACAGCCGTGTGCTGTACTGTGATTATTTACAAGGAGGGCTGCGTCCGTATTTTCTGCCTTACACACTAGGAACCTCTGTGATTACATGTATTTATATCAGTCCTAACCGTCATTCACATCTGTCCTAACCGTCATTCACATCAGTCTTAACCGTCATTCACATCAGTCGTAACCGTCATTCACTTCTGTCCTAACCGTCATTCACATCAGTCCTAACTGTCATTCACATCTGTCCTAACCGTCATTCACATCAGTCTTAACCGTCATTCACCTGTCTCTTATACACATCTAGATGTGTATAAGAGACAGGTATTGTTGCGTGTATTGCATGTTGCGTGTATTGCATGTTGCGTGTATTGCATGTTAATTGCGTGTATTGAGTGCATCGTACGGATTCAGCCGCATATACGGTATGCCTCTTGTAGATTTACAATGTTATATAAGTACTGCATAAAAAAGAGTACTGCCTACTCTTTGTCTGCTTCGCATAGGTTACGCTTTTTGTGCTTGCAAAATTATATTTATAATCTGCATGCCGTCGTCATGTAGCGACACACGTTACTCGAGACACTTGTATAAATCTAATATACCGCGTCATTTGTGATGAGCATTTGTCAATCATACACCAAGAAATCTATTATTGAAGACGTAAGATTTGTTCATAGTTTTTTACATTAAATGTCAATAGTTTCTAGTTTTCTATCATTATCATCTAATCTAAGCCAAATTTGAAATCTTCATAGACACCACTGCAACTCAGTAGTGATTTGCAAGTCGTTTCTTTCATTAATGAGATCAACTTTATTACTGGAGGAGATTTAATTGAGTAAGGTAAGATTATTTTGCGAAGAACTCACATAAACTCCTGAAAATTAAATTTAAAACAATTGTACGGTAGTTTTGGGAACTTATTTTCTCTGGTGCACGCAGCGTTCTTCGGGAGCCAAGCGTTCTGTCTTCCAAATGAATACTAATAACCAATAATCAACCCGGCGAATCCTCTTAACTTTTCCATAAGATTGCTTCGTAATAAATCACAATCTGTCCCTCGCCAACGTGCGCAGTTTCTGATTTATAGGCAACCTGCACTATTCTGACTAAATAAGCCCGACTCTTATTATCCTTTAAATGGCGCTTTCACCAAAAATTGCTCGTGCTTTCTAAGGATCTTTATATGAGTAGTTTCAACTGAGCCAAAAAACACGCTCTGTCAGTAATTTATTATATAATTTATTGTTCATGATGAAAGCCCTCTGTGAGTTCAAACTCATGTTTTGATATTCTTCAGATACTTGCATTTTTCTTGCTGGCCTCGATGCAAAACCTCACAAATGCTAAAATTAATTATTTTCGTCTAGATATTTAATTTGCTAATTCTTCAAAATCAAATCCATCAATAAGCATTAATATACTAGGCCTTGTAAATATTCAATTAAATTAATTAGTAGATCTCGATATGCACTATCTCCGATGAGCTCAGCTTTCCAGCGCCTTAAAATGAAAATATTGGCGTGAGACCCGTAGACTGATGGCACACGTCGCTCGAACGAACAAAGTCTTTTAGGATGATGTTCAATAATAATTCTCATCTTTTGCTCAGCGATGATATTTGTTGGCCCTTAATATGATAAAGCGCAATAATTTTGGAGCGCAATGCTGCCGTTAGTTTTTTTTTTTTGCCAACATAGTTGCTTTCCATGCGTGAAACACTTTAATTGATTGTAGATAATCCTGGAATGGTTACATATTAGATATCATGATTCGGATATAAATACAAGACCAAAGCAACTGAAAGAAAAAGGCCGAATGACATGCTTTGATGGTTAATTATTTTCTTTTTCATCCCTATTGATCGCTTTGACTGAAAATGGTTAGACGAGTCATATAGTAGCACTTCAGTCCCTCGACAGTCATTTCTGATCAAAACTTCATTACAAGATATACGTAATCTCAAATTCAGCCTTCGACAGTTTTTTGAAATATCCAACAGTAAATGACAGTTAAATAAATATGAACAACGCATTGCAATACACGCCCTTTAATTCAGACGAATCTATCCAAAATGTTACTTCACATTTTTTGCTATGATTGAGTATGTAATTCATTCGCTTATATTTATCCGAAGAAAGTGTCTGTATTAAAGCCTTGCCAGTCTTACGAAGGCACCAATTAAGTTCATTTGTTAACAGACAAAAAACATTAACAATTTTTTAGATCTACCGAGACGGAGGAGCTATAGTAAGCCTTTTTCTCTAAACGAAACTATACTGTTTGCTTTTACTTGCTAAGAGACTTGGCCCTTGGCTGGATACATGTTCAAAGTTCATGAATGCTTAATAATATTTAAATTATTTATATCAATTGTTTCTAATCTTTCCTCATATCTAAATGAGTTCAGTGCGTTCAATGTTGTTAATAAACATACAGACACAATATGACTTGGATGTTCGTTCATTAGATTAATTGACGAGTCAATTTTCTTCGGCTCAACATATATTTAATATGATTATGCTTCATTAATAACTCGTACATTTATGATGCATTTGACCCTCACACATCAGCAGTATAAGATCATTCATCTGCAATAATGATATGCATTGTTAAGAGTGATTGTGATTTGTTATTGACTCGTTTCTTTATGAATCCGTAATGATAAGATGATAATGATACGTGGAATATTATGCCGAGTTTAAAGAACTATGGTGTTCTAGTATATTATAGTAATATTGATTGTTGCAATAATTTTTAATTTAATATATTACATTAATTTTCGTCACCGCACCATAAAAATTAGCTCGCCATGTATTCACGAAACAAAGCCGGTATATTATACCTCATATCCACATGAGAGCAAATAATTTTGATTGAGATCCCAGCAAAGTTCATATTAACGAAGGTTTGGTTGAAGGCGTGATAGAAATGTTTTCAACAATTTTTTTATTGCTCTTTTCAATTTTTTCAATATTAGGAGTTAAAATTTTTGTCAGAGTTGAAATATGAACTCTCGAAGCGAATTTTTTTCTTCCATGTAGGTACTTTAGGAAGTTTGCGTCATTGCTGTGTGCTTGTGACATCGTAACTGACTAGACATTTTTGAACACATATCTAATTTAACTGAATTGAATCGGGATATCACTTACACAATTACTTCAATTTTTAGTGGTAAAAGTATATAGCTACGAATAAAGTTTTAAAAATCTGGTTGAAAAATGTGAGAAAAACTTTGTGTATTTTTTTTTAGAATTTATTACTTTACTTCTTTTCTAGATTTATAAATGGAGTCATAGTTTACCGAAAGTACGAGCGGTCACTTCTCTGATTCACTTCAGTTTTGTTTAAAATCTTCAAGCAGTGAAGAACGGGAGATTACGGAAGCGGGATAATCGGTATTTATTAATGAGAACTGCAACTTTATCCTGCAGTCTTATGGGTTATCTTTCCCGAGCAAATCTAGTGAATTGTATTAAGGATAAGTTTTTAATTAGAGACACAAATTTATTATTAGGAAGATATACACATTGACTTATGTGCTCACAATATCCTAGTAATTAAAATCATAATGCACTGCGAATAATTGCATATGACCCAGGGCTGCCACATACATGTCTGATATAGTTAAGATTATGTCCAGACTTTCCATTGCGGTCAGACAGTCAGCGTTTGCTTCTCTGCGTTTTATTTATTTTGATAATAAAATATCCATTTATCTCATGGTTCAGGAGTGCGTGGAAACGATTTCAATGCTCACTCAACTCAAGGAATTTATGTTTGGCTCTTACTTAAACTGTGCCCAGTTACTAATCTAAAACGGGAGCTCCTCTCTTAATTTAAAGAGTCTACTAACCAATGTGCACATTGAACATTTTTCAGTATCACATTCAAAGCGTATAGTCGAGCCAGTCAGTGTTTTAGTCAAATAGATTCTTGTTTGGAGTCATGTTTGAGCAAAAAATTAAGTTTTTCGTCAGGAGTGAAAAACGCCTTCCATGGGATAAGCCAATATTTTTTGAATAATGAAATATGACCTAATTTGCACCTATGCATGAGTAAAGCAAATCAAAGTATTAAAATAACTAAACTAAATTCAATAAATAAACCTATAAATCAAAACAATATAAATATTTAATAATTAAATCTAACAAATGCAATTAAAGATGCTACGAATAAACATAAATTCAACTAACATTATGGAACATTTTACAGCCTTCAAAAATTAAAAAGTTACTTTTGGCTTTGAATATGCTCAAAAAGCATTGAAGGTATTTTTGTTGGCAGTTCTTAAGACTGGAGCTCGTAGATCACAGATGATGGAGGGGGCACAGAGCCCTGAAGTTTAACGAGGAGGTCGGTGTGACTCAGCGGGACGCGTCGCTCATTGGTGACACTCGCTGCGGGTCGTAACTTCTGAGCTGAATGAGGCCTGCTACGCTGCTCTCAAGGCCCTGCTTACAATTATTATGCTTGAGTTATCCTTGGCCGTAGACCGGGCCTTGTCTGGCCGCGCAAGTTTCGCACGTGTATGCTATTTCAATGGGGAAGAGTGATACATAATTCTCCTATCTAGC